TTTGTAACGGCGACGTTAACGGCAGCGACGGCAGTAGGACACCGTATCAGTCGACATACAGTGTACCGGCGACTAAGAGAACATGGTATTCGAGCAGGTCGACTCTACCGCGTAGTGCATCGGACGAGGCGAGTTCGACGTTGGCAGATGCGTGATTGGCGACGTGTGATGTTCTGTACAGCAATGACGGCCGGGCTCGTGTTTACAGACGAGTAGGTGAACGTTTAGGGCCATATTGCGTTTAGCAAGTCCAACCGTTTGGATTCGGCAACGTGATGGTGTGGGGAGTGATCTGCGGCGATCTCAAAACGAGATTTGTGATTATTCATGGCAACCTGAATGCTCGAAGATACAGGGATGAGTTTTGCGACCAGTTGTGTTGCCATTTATCCAGCAACAACCACGTACAAGACTGACAAACAACTTTCCGCATAACGCTAACACCGTTGTTTTGCCGTGGCCAGCATGTTCACCCGACATGAATCCCATAGAACACGTATGGGACTACCTAGATCGTCAAATCACAAGCTTACCAGCGCCACCTGTCACCTCTCAACAACTGGAACAATGTGTCCTAGGACATGTTTTGGCGTGTATTGAAGCCAATGGTTGTCACACTCACTACTGATTCAACACTTGATGACATTATGCAGAAAAAAACCCGCCTTGTTGGTTTGTGTAAAAGTTCAGACTATGATACCACGTGTTTTTCAGTGTCAGTCGAAAGGTACTTTCGACTTTGTATGAAATTAATAGTCCACATTTGCTGTAGAATTGAATACTTTGTTGAAATTTAACAGATGTTCCTTTATGTATGCTTTTCTTTTCTATTCACGTTTGGTCAAACACACTCAATACTTTCTTTTGAGCACTAGTTTTTTTCTATGCAGTAGTTCGTCAACTATGTCAATTATGGCAACATATAGTGCTTCTTGACTGGATTTACATCAAGGAATTGTTAAAATACTAAAATACACTAAGCGATCTCAGTTGTATGTGTGAATTACACATATTCAAGCAATCATTGGTCATAATTTGTATGTACAATACCGTTTTCAGAAGGGTTAATTTGTCAAATGTCGGCCATTTTAAAAACTCGCTGTCTTTGGCTATAATAGTGATATATCTACTGGAAATCTTTGTTGGTCACCGAAGTGATTAGTGCTATGTTTCATAATATTATGACTCCTGTAACAATTATTACAGATGCTGCCTTTATCCCACCATGCACATATATCTCTAAAATGAACATAGTTTTTACAATGGATGCCTTCCATTAAAATGCCTATAGATTTTAGCCTACCCAATAATTTGGGATTACATAGTACCTAAAAATATTCTGTAGGCTTCCCTGAATCAAACTGCATAGACAGGCCGTTTATATCCTGGCTTGGCTCCTGTAACTAAGATTACAGATTGTAGATTGCTGAATTTGGTTTGTGTCCAGCTGTACATTTGCATGGTACGTGTGAATGAGGAACTTAGTATATTATTACATTGAAACCAAGTTGAACTCCGCTTTATATTGTTCTTTGGTCAATATCGCAATGTTGATGAAAATGATATTATAGAGGTTTTTTCACATTTTTATGTTCCCTTCATTTATGCAAAAGAAATCATCCAAAAACGATGCTTCTCTGTCTGAGCAAGGGAACATAATTTATATAGTGTTGACTAATTAAAATTGATATTTATTAATTGTCCGAACAGGATTCACACATTTCATATGATGTTAGCTTATTCTTGTGGTGGGGAAGGTCTGTGTGGTGTGGGATGGTTCGTGTCTTACACAGCGTAACAGCTTTGTTGTAAGGGATGTTGCTGGAGGGTGCCAGTTAATCTGAGTTATTATATGTCAAACAATGCCTCAAGACGCAAACCTTCGTAAAGTTTAAATTTAATTCCCCATCTCAAGCATTTATTGTGCTAAGAAAAACCTTTATAGCAATCCGAGTGAACAAGGAGGGTGAGGCAACCAATCCATTAGAACTGAGCCCATGGTGTGTATGTATGTGTGCGTGCGTGCGTGCGTGCGTGCGTGTGTGGTGTGGTGTGTGTCTTAACTGATAGATATTGAAAATCAGGCCGTTTGTAAACATAATGACTATATTGGCTCGAGCACTTGTGGTATATGAAGAACAAAAGAATTTCACACTTCAAAACGAACAGTAATATTTTTCATGTTGACATATACTGCTTCAAAACTGTGAATGATATATAGGCTGTGTCATGATATGGATAAGACAACATCATATGGCATAAATGACACTTTAATGACACATGTGATGGTACGAAATACATAATTACCACGTAAATTAACTGATGACGCAAAACTTCAACTCGGTACAGGAAGATTTATGTTTTATATGTAAAGATTGAGTATTTCGAGGTAACCTAAAGAAGCGTACAATAACTCTTGATATGATATTTTTATCTCAGATCTATTTTGAAGATAGCAGTTTACTAAAGCCTTAACCAAACTTCAAAAGACTGGTCTTTCACAAACTGAATACTCTCAAGCAGATCTCACTTATACTGCAATAAACAGTATGGGGATCTCACTTATACTGCAATAAACAGTATGGGGATACATAACGAAGCAAACCGCTTTAGTGATAACAACTTCTGGTTTCCATTTACATCTTTAAGCAAAAACAGGCTGATTGGATGATTTAATGCAATAGTTGGTTAAGTTCATCACTTGGACAAGGTAGTGGAATTCGATACCGAAGTTGATTTACAGACAGAATGTATCAATCAGCTGTTGAATTAGCATCTAATCATCCTGTTTACAATGTAATAGTTTCTGTATATTGGTTTATAAAACTTGTGCTATTTGTTGATTGTACTCTCCGTCTGGTCTCATCAAACTGTGTGCAACTTGCTCTCGGTTACCTGTTCTTGTTGTTGTTAATCTGCTGCTTGTCATACATACTATACATATATTGTCATACATACTATACATATATTGTCATACATACTATACATATATTGTCATACATACTATACATATATTGTCATACATACTATACATATATTGTCATGCATACTATACATATATTGTCATACATACTATACATATATTGTCATACATACTATACATATATTGTCATGCATACTATACATATATTGTCATACATACTATACATATATTGTCATACATACTATACATATATTGTCATACATACTATACATATATTGTCATACATACTATACATATATTGTCATACATACTATACATATATTGTCATGCATACTATACATATATTGTCATACATACTATACATATATTGTCATACATACTATACATATATTGTCATGCATACTATACATATATTGTCATACATACTATACATATATTGTCATACATACTATACATATATACTTCTCATCACCTGGTTGTAGTAACCACCATCTTGATAACAGTGTAGGGATAAACATGGAATCGCCCCTCTGTGCATCCACAAGAAATTGGTATTTGTAAGGTCGTACTTCCAGAATGACTTTGTGTTCTCGATGCAGGTTTTATTTCTAAACATATACAATTTTCTTTATCCCGGATCTCTGGGAAAAAGGAAAAAAGAAACATAAATGCGCTTGTGGGGATAACAGCTCAGTATTTATGCTGTATCTTCACGCATGAGGTGCAGTTGCATTAATATAAAGCAGAAATGGATACTATCAAAATACGGCGTGTTCCTGCAGTTCTCATATGAAAACATATGTGTCATGTAAGAAGCAGTATATATTTGTAAAATGTGAATGAACTCAAATAGAACAAAAGATGCTTGAAATAGTTAAGCCTATACGTTTCTCCTGACTCTAACATTGGAGGGGCATTGAAACAGGGGAACCTTGGGGAATGAATGTTATGAGCGAAAATACGACGAACCAATCAGAACGCACGGAATGATTGCGGAACTTTGATAAAATATACTCCAGAGTGCATTAATCGTCATATGTATCGTCATATTGACAGGTACAAAGAACCGCATTGTGTTGCCTAACGTGAAGCTTCTAATAAGAATAATGCTATGAACGGTGAGAAGACCCATTCGCTGTCTGGGCTGTTTGTAGAGGGGACAAGGTCCCTAAGCCAATGATGAGCATTTACCAGCCTGACTGTGCCAGGATCGCCCGTACCCTCTCTGCTGCATTTTCATCTTAAACTGCAAAGCATGATAATAATAAAAGGAGATACCAGTTTGAAAGAGCAGGTTCTCCTCGTGTAGTCCTTTTCTAATGATATTGGCATGACATTTGGATTCGACTAACGTAATACTCTTCATTTGAAACGTGGTAATGTAATTAATGATGGATAGGTCAAGTTATAAGGGGGAGGAGTCATTAAGCTTCTTGTGGAAGATCAGGCCAACACCAGGAATGCAAGTTCGAGACAAGCTCCAGAATGCCCAAATTCAAGACAAACTTCCATGAGCCTTACCAGCCTGACTGTGCCAGGATCATCCGAACCCTCCCTGCTGCATTTTCATCTTAATCTGTAAAACATAATTATAGAATAATAACTTCTGAATACAAAACGTCACAATGGCTTGCCTCATTTTTATTAGCCATGGTTATGACCCTGAACATGTCCTGTAAGTCCTGGAAAACGGAGGATTCTCCATCTCCACTGAGAAGCTCTTGTCATATTGCGTGTACACGTTCCAGCTTCAAGTCTCATAATACCTGTGCTATTGGCAAACATGTGTATCTTGTGGAAACAATGTTCCTGCTTTTCTGATCATTGCAAGCCTCTTTCGTCATGTGTACAGGTGACGTTACAGACGGAATCGATCCGACTTTAGGTCCACTGTAATGCTCATTGTATGTATAAATGTATAAATGTATAAATGTACAGCTTCAAGCCTCATAATACCAGTGCTATTGGCAAACATGTGTATCTTGTGGAAACAATGTACCCGTTTTGACAAATTGTTAAACATGTATAGATTGGTAAAAAGTTCAAAACAAACTGTTGACTATGAACTTCATTTCAGATCCTCGTTCACTGCCTGAACATGGCGACCAGGATAAAAGATACGTGGACAAACAGGTATCTGTAATCAACACGCCTGTCACTCATCTTGTTTATGGCATCATGCCAGCAAGTAATCTGTGAACCTTTCTGTAGCCAACAAATATGACGCAAACACCCCACCTAATTGATCGGTCCGTCTATTATACGTGTTAACGGTTAAAGTATTCCCTGTTCAGTGTTGCATTGTTAGTGAGAGTTAACCACATTCGTAAAGGTACCCCCAGTGATTTCGTAATTGTTATAAAAGGCATGCATTTGTCCTGATATACGAATACCTGATGTATATATTAACTAAATATTACGTTAACATACACAAAATATCTAATTAATGAAGCCTGTCCGAGTTTTGTAGGAACACGACAATGTGGTAAAGGACCTGTCAGAACAAGTGGCAACCTTGACGCTACAATTACAAGAGATGAAGGAGAAGGAACGAGCACAACTGGCAGGTACACGTTGTACACCGTGTGTTTGAAAGATTAAATATATTTGAAACTCTAACCAATCGTAAAGGTTCAAACTAGTACAAGTGACTAATTCCATGGAGTGGCGTGTTCTGAAGGTATGAGTTAATGGAAGTTAGCCAGAAATATGTATGTTATGAACTACAGTTAGTTATGAAATACAGTATAGTTAACGAGGTTAGCAGATAAATACTGTTTGATTATCATGTATTGATTCTCACATGTTCCTCGGTTTGCTTTAGACATATGGTTGTGGAAGACGAGGCCAGGTTCTCCTCAGCCCTCAGAAAGCAGTGGAATCTGTGAGTACAAACTGTCACAAGGAACAATTATTCATGAAGTTGTGTACGTAACTGTAACACATTACATGAAAAGCCCGTCTTGTAGCTGGGTCCTGTTGTCCCTGGGCGTGATAATGCTGGAATATTACTAAACGCAGTGTAAAACCAAACTCACTCACTCACTCACTTCTGTAGCTGTGAGTTGGCAGAGGCAAATAGGACAGCGGCACGAGGCATTGCAGACAGAAAAACGATATGAATCTTCCAAGCGTCTATTTACTGTGGAAATGTAATAGGTAGATGGGATGGCAAAGACCTTTCAATTTGTTATCTCGTTAAATACATCCACAGCTATAAATCTTGAACAGTTGGAACGCAAAAGACATTTTAACTTCAATCAATAGAATATCAGAATTTGTGTTTAGTTCATGTTAAATTCTTACATAAATGACTCTAGTAAAACTGTAAATCCTATAGCTGCAGACCTTACTGTTTCAGGTACATCAACAAACACAATGACAGATGTTGGTGTTGAGGAGTTTCAGGATACCACAGGTAAAGTGGAACAGGATCGGTATTTGTTTTATGTGTGGACAACTTCTTTGTTGCAATGGATGCGACGTGTCAGTATAGATGCTAACACCGTTATCAAGCAACTGATACACAACATTACGGACAAGGAGAATTATACATGGATGCTATTTGAGTTTATACAATTACCGAGGTTGATGTACTGTCTGATGACATTACTAACAGATGTTGTGGTAATAGATAATGGTCATGAAGCCAGATGGACGAAGGGTAGGGGCCGCTTAATCTTGACTGGCCTTGATCAGATAATGGTAGGTCGTAGAGATGTAATAACCTTGATTTCTGTAGAAAAACTTCTGAACCATAATCTTTACAGTATTTTACGTATAGTGTCACTAAGCAGTATGCTCAATAATCTTTTGTTTAGATTTTTTTGTCATTAGTCGGGCTTACGTATAAATTAAATAAACCCAAGGCTTGCCGAAATCACGTTTTACGTTTTGCGGGATGGCAGTTGCTTCGTACCAACTTCCGGTTAGGGTGAGTACTAACACTGTCACGGAAGAATATTACTCCTATGCAAACCACCTATCGAACTGTCAGTCACTGTCAGTTTGTGTATTTGAACACGATGCTGCAGTTGAAATTTGATAATAAGTATAATCTGATCACAGTAAATCTGATCACATGTGATCCCGGAGTTATTTTGTGAAAGTTTTAGCGTAAATAATTTCATGTTTTCCTATATTTTTCAGTATGACAGAAGGATACTTAGTTACTGGTTTCTGTGAGAACATGTGTTGCTATGAATATATTAACAGATCTGTCAGAACCTGAAGACGGCCGCCGTCAAAAAGGGGGCGCCAGTAACCCACAGGTATAGTCTATTTGGCATGTTTGAAAATCATTGTAGTAAGACTCCCATGCTGGCTAGGTTCACAATCTCCAAGCGACATCACAGACGGATCAAACCTGGTGTTGATGGAGTCCATCATTCCTCTTGAGAAGTGTTGGAATTGTACACACGGCAAACAGACGGGTACTTGACAACACGAGATCTTGATCTGACATATACCTCTCAAATATACCTAAACTTTAAAGCAACAGCAACAGTTTCAGATGATATTGGTTGCAGCTGAACCAAACAAGCATTTGATCGTATGTCTAATTAATGCTACTCGTTTACCAATCATCGCGAACAAGTACAATGCTGATTAACCAGCTCTTACTAATTCACGCTCATTTAACCATGTTTAAAACCCATGTCTTGCAGCACACGTCTGGAACCATCACTGATGTGAGAAGACAACCCGCAGACACGAGGCAGGAACTGAAGGCCACAAAGGAGAGGATGCACAGACTTGAGATCGCACACCGCAAAGGTAACCCCCGTCAAGTGTTACAGTATTTTCACGGTTGTGTGCGTAGCATGTGTTAGCCCTACACCAATCCTGAAATGTCACACTTAGTGTGTTTCAAGCGGCACACAGACCAAAGTATCTCAGTGTGCAAGCTGATGCTGATACAGTACGCCGTATACAGTGTAAATGTCCACGGTACACCCAAGACACAATATGTACGATTCCTGCTTCTTTTAGACTTCTCCATGTTCCCTTGATGGAAATAATACATACACATATACAAGTGTACCTGTAATGATATTACGCTTAATCAAACCATTACTGCCGGTTTATGTATGTAATGCAAATATATACACATTTTGGCTTATCTCTGTTTACATGTTTAGACATTCTCAGCACGTTCACTACAGGTAAATAGAAGAATAGCAAAACAACACCCACCCATTACAATAAAAATAAGTGCATTTATAATGCGCTAACTCCATTCACTAGGTGAATGCTCATAGCACTAACAATCTGATCATTATTATCCCGGATAACCCAGACTGCCAGTGGGGCGCTAGGTTATTAGTGACATGACTTTTTCCACCGGGTACCCATTTTCTGCTGGGTGAACAGAGTTTTGAACACACTCACTTGCCTAAGATGAGACCACATGTATCACATGTGCTTCGTTGTGGGGCTGGACTGAAGTCCTCAAAACTCTCAGGAGTCAAGCTGCCAAACACGGTCACACATCCAAGGGCTCTCCGCGCTCAACGTTGCTTGACTTCATCCGATTTGTGACCTGATCTCTATGCACAGGACCGCACACCACCACAGTCATTATACAACAACAAATATTTATTGAAAAACGATGTAAAATATTGCATAAATCTTTGATTCCAAGTCAGCACCATAATCAATTGTTTCCTTAATGACAAGAAATAGCACATTTGTCACCACTCGCCCCTTTCGGTAACCTCCAGGAAGACTCGTCCCCGTCTCGATGCTTGTTATGTGCGAAAATACGACAAACTAATCAGAACGCGCGTAATGGTTGGGGTGTTTTCATAAAAATAATTCCGACTACTTGAATCGCTTTTGGCATTATGTTATTGTTTAAAAATCATGAAATATATATATCGTCTTATTGAAAGTACTAAGAACGTAGCTAACAGAATTGCGCTGTCTAATGTGAGGTTTTTGATAAGAATCATGCGATTGACGGTAAGAGATTCAAATACACGCACGTGAGTTTGTTGACATAACGGTTCTCAGGGACCAACTGAATGTATTTCTGGCGATCTTGCGGGCTTGTTGTGGTGATTGTATGTGCGCTTCCAACAGTTTTTTGAAACGTAGTTATAGATCGCTACGGGTTTCAAAACAATAATATTATATCTGTATGTAACTGAACTGGGCATATATTTCAATTCACTAGGAATATTTTAGTCTGACCCTTTTTGGGTCATTCATATATTTTTCAGCGAATTCATTTAAAATTCCATTTGGGGTATGACAGCAAGGTTACACGTATGTTCAGTTTGAGAATTATTATAAAAGTCATATTTAGTTTCTCCTTTGGAATTTAATGTGGCGGTTTTTTATAAATTTTATTTGCATATTCAATAAAACAAATCCCATTTGTGATTATCAAATCTTTTTCAGAAATATAATTGGAAATATAAGGTGACCATCTGGTAATAATTACGTCAGAATATGTCTATAACAAATATGTTTTTCTCTTTGTTTTAGTTGTAGTTGTACCAAGGTTTATTTCTTTAAAATAAATAAGCAAAAACAAAAACAGCAATACAATGTATGAATGAGTAGTTTGAAGGTATTAAGTATTATTGGAATGAAACATGAATAGAGTTATCGTTCCTGTTTGAAGTAGTTCTGATGTTCCTACGCCAATATGAAATCCTTCAAGAGGGGGCACGAGTCACAATTCGGCTTGTCCCGGAATAACACGAGTTGGTCACAAATGCCTCTTCCGCAGATATTTCACAATAAAAGAGCAACGCAACTATCCTCTTTTATACATCAATACCATCAACACGTACTCTTCCCATACCAAGATGCTCAACAAACAGCTATGAGAGTCAGTGTTCTGTGAAAGGCAATCCGTTCATGACACATCGTCTGACTCTCGCCACGAGGTTTCCTTTTCGCCATAATACACCAAATATACACAGCAACATCTCAAATAAGACCTACGACCTAGCATTTGCTAGCATTGGTATCTATCGTGACCATACTTTATGCATCCACAGCTAGAATAAGAGAGGGACCACTTCCATTCGTGAACAACTCGTGTTATTCCGGGACAAGCCGAATACCGTGCCCCTTAGGAAAGATTCATATTGGCGTATGAACATGAGAAGAACTTCAAACAAGAACGACAACTCTATTTCTGTTTAATTCCATCAGTAATAAGGCTGAAGGGGTCGTTGTCGGCACAGGTACTACAGATATGTACCCCAGGTACGTTTCTGTATACAGATATGTACCCTAAACAAAGTCATAATACAGAAACGTACCCGGTACCCTAAAAGGCGGACGAGTCCATATTCCGCAATCCAAAACCGAAACCGTATGTAGTTGTTCCCGTTCAACTGATTCCGAGTGGAATTCATGTGCATCGCGAAATATCCGTTATGGCGTATTCTCATTACTTACATAACGCAATGAAATGTATCTAATACAACAGCATGACAGAATACGACACAATAGGAATGGAATCGTCCTAGGGTACGTTTCTGTATTTTCATTATGGGTACATATCTATAGTACCCGTGCCGACAACGACCCCTTCAGCAGTAATAAGCATAAGAAAATATCTGCTTTAAACAGATTTTACCTGTTTTAACAATAGGATCCCAGAAACGTCAGATTGAAATATCCCGAGTGAAGTGAAATGTAAGCACAGTATTTAAGATAAAAGTTGATGAGTTTTATAGAAATGTATTGTTTTACAACTAGTAGTTATTCATGTAAGAGTAGCTTAAACTGTCGGAAAGCGCGCGTAAAATCTCCACAGCAAGCCCGCAAGATGGTCGTAGAAATCGCTCAACGTGAGAGCCGCTCTGTGGGTGGGTGTATTTTAAACTGTCACCGTCCACGGCCCTATCCTTATTAAAACTTTCGCATTAGGCAATACAATTTTGTAAGCTACGTTCCTTATAATGTCAAAATGACGATGTCTATTTTTCAGTCACATAATGCCATAAACGATATACGTACGACATAACTTGGGTGTGCAGTTGTGAAGCCGTATGTGTCGTGTGGGTGGGGTGTGCAGTTGTGGAGCTGTCTGTGTCGTCTGAATTGGGTATGCAGTTGTGAAGCCGTCTGTGTCGTGTTACTTTAGTGTGCAGTTGTGAAGCCATCTGTGTCGTGTGAGTGGGGTGTGCAGTTGTGAAACCGTCTGTGTCGTCTGAGTTTTGTGTGCAGTTGTGACGCCGTCTGTGTCGTCTGAGTTGGGTGTGCAGTTGTGAAGCCATCTGTATCGTGTGAGTTGGGTATGCAGTTGTGACGCCGTCTGTGTCGTCTGAGTGGGGTTTGCAGTTATTAAGCTGTCTGTGTCGTCTGAGTTGGGTATGTAGTTGTGAAACTGTCTGTGTCGTCTGAGATGGGTATGCAGTTGTGAAGCCGTCTGTGTCGTCTGAGTTGGGTTTGCAGTTATTAAGCTGTCTGTGTCGTCTGAGTTGGGTATGCACTTGTGAAGCCGTCCGTGTCGTCTGAGTTGGGTATGCAGTTGTGAAGCCATCTGTGTCGTGTGGGTGGGGTGTTCAGTTGTGAAGCTCTCTGTGTTGTCTGAGTTGGGTTTGTAGTTGTGATGCCGTCTGTGTCGTGTAAGTGGTGTATGCACTTGTGAAGCTGCCTGTGTCGTCTGAGTGGTGTATACAGTTATGAAGCCGTCTGTGTCGTCTGATTTTGGTATGTAGTTGTGAAGCCGTCTGTGTCGTCTGAGTGGGATGTGCAGTTGTGAAGCTGTCTGTGTCGTGTGAGTGGGGTGTGCAGTTGTGAAGCCGTCTGTGTCGTCTGAGTTGGGTGTGCAGTTGGAAGCCATCGGTATCGTGCGAGTTGGGTATGCAGTTGTGAAGCCGTATGTGTCGTCTGAGTTGGGTGTGCAGTTGTGAAACCGTCTGTGTCGTCTGAGTTGGGTGTGCAGTTGTGAAACTGTCTGTGTCGTCTGAGTTGGGTGTGCAGTTGTGAAACCGTCTGTGTCGTCTGAGTTGGGTATGCAGTTGTGAAGCTGTCTGTGTCGTCTGAGTTGGGTATGCAGTTGTGAAGTCGTCTGTGTCGTCTGAGTTGGGTGTGCAGTTGTGAAACTGTCTGTGTCGGCTGAGTTGGGTATGCAGTTGTGAAGCTGTCTGTGTCGTCTGGAGTTGTGTATGCAGTTGTGAAACGGTCTGTGTCGTCTGAGTTGGGTATGCAGTTGTGAAGCTGTCTGTGTCGTCTGAGTTGGGTATGCAGTTGTGAAGTCGTCTGTGTCGTCTGAGTTGGGTATGCAGTTGTGAAGCCGTCTGTGTCGTCTGAGTTGGGTATGCAGTTGTGAAGCTGTCTGTGTCGTCTGAGTTGGGTATGCAGTTGTGAAGCTGTCGAATGTGTCTGTGTCGTCTGAGTTGGGTGTGCAGTTGTGAAGCTGTCTCTGTGTCGTCGTGAGTTGGGTGTGCAGTAGTGTATCCGCTTGGGGCATGCAGCTGTCTGTGTCGTCTGAGTTGGGTGTGCAGTTGTGAAGCTGTCTGTGTCGTCTGAGTTGAGTTGGGTGTGCAGTTGTGAAGCCGTCTGTGTCGTCTGAGTTGGGTGTGCAGTTGTGAAGCTGTCTGTGTCGTCTGAGTTGGGTATGCAGTTGTGAAGCCGTCTGTGTCGTCTGAGTTGGGTGTGTAGTAGTGATGCCGTCCGTGTCGGCTGAGTTGGGTATGCAGTTGTGAAGCTGTCTGTGTCGTCTGAGTTGGGTGTGCAGTTGTGAAACCGTCTGTGTCGTCTGAGTTGGGTATGCAGTTGTTGTCTGTGTCGTCTGAAGCCGTCTG